CTAAGCATTCAACCAGCAATGAGCGCTTAGTAAACCCGCATCCAAGTTTAGGCGTAAGTAATCAATTATAACGGATTATTACGATGATTTTATGACAACTATAATCGAATATAATTATCAAAATTAGGTCTTTAAGGGATTTATAATTGATTATAATCGTGATATTTTCCAAGAGAAAATAATCTCTTGTAATGGATTATAATTGATTATAGTTCTTACTAAAAACCCTTAAAATCAATTATAATCGATTATAATCGATTATAATTGATTAAAATCTCTTATTTTGCCGAAGTTTTCCCATATTCGAATTATATCTTATGGGTTATTATTTTTGTGTCAATAAGAAAATCTCTAAAAGAGAGCTCTTGAACACTTTGGTTCATCTGAACACAAAGTTTTACCACGAAATTAAAATTTCACAGAGATTTTTTCATATGAGTGGAAAGATTCTCGCGGTAGATGAAAAATAAATTTTCCGAATCAATCATGAAGCTAAATCAATTTGCCGATGTTTTGGTGTTTAAAAAAGCTTAAAATATGCATCACAAAACAACTCTAATGGGGAAGAAATGAAAAAAAACTTATAAGTTTGAAATAATTGGAAAACTTTGAAAAAATTTTTCTCATTTTTCATAGGAACCAACGTCCACAAAAAGCATAAAACAAACGCAATTTAAATGCAACTTTGAAGACAAAAATGGACAAACAAAAGGGATTATAACCAATTATAATCGATTATAATGGATTTTTGTGCAAAACTAACGAAACAGAAACTTGAATAAAAATAATGGATTATAATCAACTATAATCGATTATAATTGTATCGAAAAAAAGACGAATAAATAATCGATAATTGTTGATTATAATGGATTATAATTAATTATAATTTGATTTTATAAAGAGAGATTATAATCGATTATTAATTGATTAAAATCGATTGTTTCTCTTTTTTAGTGAAACTGGTACTAAAATCGTAGTGTAATCGATTATTAACGCTTGAAACTGGATGCGGGTCTCTTCAATTTATGCTCTTGAATTCTCTTCTTCATTTTCCGTAAAATGTCTTTTGAGCGTTTTTTTTTTTGCACGATGATCGAATTTCTCCTAAGCCGGCCCATTACAAGCTTATCCCGACAAGCTTGTCCCACGACATCCCAAGCATCCCAATTTTCGGCATCAAGTGGGGGCCTAATAGCGGTTCTTGATGATCAAATTGTCTGGTGCGGTTTTTTTGTGGAGAAATGGTGCTTTTATGCTATCTTTATCTCACAATCTTCCTGGTATAAAAATCAACACAAATGAATGTACATAATTCGAATACAGTTTGTTGAGGTGTGTTTTGAGGTGAGTGTAATTCGCGTTCATGGTTAAGGGCGAGGGTAGATGAGTGATCGCGTCCAGTCATGAACTTGAACTCTTCATCATCCAAATTTTCCTTACTTGCCATAGGCATAAGCTCTAGACAAGCTAATCCAACACTTCTTAAACATCTGTGCCTTCAAAAAATTGTTGAGTTCGCTTGTCAGAATGGTGTTCGTTAGGCAAGTAAGGAACCACCAGCGGACTTAGGGGGGGGGGACGCCCAATTACTCTAATAATGGATACGATCGGCTCATAATGCGATACTCACAAAAGGCTAGAAACAATTCGGGTAAGTTATGTATATATTTTTTGCAGTAGCTTTGAATAAAATATTGGTCCTATCGTTGAAATTCACAATTTTACGTTATTTCCCGTTTCTCGCAGAATTTTTAAAAACTATGAAAACAGAAATTTTAGTTTCAAATACCATAAGTTTTTTTAAATTTGACCAAGTTGAGTATCAATAAAACAACTGTCAGTCAGTATCACCATAACCGGGCGTTAATTAAAAAAATGGCCAAAACACTTTATCCAGTATATTGCTTCAGAAATAGATATTTTCAGACAGTCGGTTCTTGAGCGAGTGCGAAAATATTTGTAGATCAGATGAGCACATAGTGCCAATCAAACGCTGCCCTAAACCAGCCATGAACGGGTGCGGTCCACGGGATCTACCAGGGTGGCTAAAAATGCTAACAGCCGCCATAAGCACCGATTCAGCCGAACGATGTTGCGACCAGCACGACTATTGCTACGAGGAGTGTTCTACGAATAAAGAGGAGTGCGAAGATACTTTTCGTGACTGCCTCTCAGGCTGGTATGACATATATGCCGCACTCAACTCTTTGATCGGATGTGATTCTTTCGAAAAAGCCAAACTTTAAAGATGCACTTGTGTTCAAAAATCATCCGGCATCACAGAGTCACATATAGAGTGTCCAATATAAAGTTGAAACTTTAAAATGAAATAACGATTCCTTTTCAGTTCACTCTTGGTTTTTGCTAAAATAATACCTAAGTTACGATTCAAAATGAATTTTGCTGTTCTAAGTTTTAAACTAAAGTATATCCGCAGTGTGAAAAAATGAAAAGATTTGAATGATTTTTGTTTTAAGCAAATTTTTGCTTGACTGTTTTTGACAAAATTCTGTAGCAATTTTACGAGAGGGATGTGCGGGAAACTGGAAAATAAGTTACGTTTACTTCTGTTTAAACACTTATTTCTTGGTTTATATGAAGTTCGGGACCAAACATTTTTCTATGCCAAGTGTTTGAGGTTAATCGTGCAGTGGCTTGCACAAGGCTTTTTGAGAAATTTTAAAATTTTGTAGACCTTTTTTGGCTCTTTTTCATTTTCCCCCCACCTGGAAAAACTTACAAGTTTAATTTTTATTCACGTTATTCGATCGTTACGAAAATTGACATACGGAATAAATAGGTTATGACAAACATATTTGGTCTTTTAATTAAACTTGCAATACCACTCGTTACACAATAAAATTCATGTTCATGTTTGGGGGACGGAAAAAGAGCCCCTTTTTTAGGTAGATCAATTTGGCTTTCCGTTTCCGAGCTGTCCAAAAAATATACTGGGCCTATTTTGTCAAAACTTTTCTGAGCCGCAGGCAATTTTTTCAAAAAACGAGCCAAAAGAGGCGGTTTTAGGCTTTTTTTGAAACAATTTGACCAAAAAGTTTTCATTAAATCGAATTTAATAATCGAAGAAAAAAACCTCATTGAGCATAAAAACCCGGTCAATTTTTGCGGAAAATTGAGCAGGAAAAAAATTATGCCATAAGAAAACACATTTTCAAATGGTTTTCATTAGGTAATAATTCAAAAGTCTCAGCTGTCTCTGAAACTGATTAAGCCTTCAAAAGGTTTTTTTGGATGATAGATTTTGTAGACTTGCTGCAGTAACGATGCACTTAGCAAAGTGTTTTGTACAGAAAAAATATTGATTGATGAATAATTTTGACGCTCTTTTTGTGAGTTTTGTAGTATTGAGAAATACTACACAGACAAAAGACCATTGTCTTAATTGTTTATTTAACGACCCAATTCTAAATTGGAGCGTGCCAGTTAAATTAAAGCCTCTTTTCACTAAATCAGATATTGACTGATTTACTCTTAATAGGACTATAAAATCTTGTTTTGAAAGTCCACTCCTTTTTAAATACTTGTCCAATTTTTCTCATTTTTTCATGCTCAATATTTTAAAAGGGCGGCGATTATTAATACGTCCATTTTAACTTAACTTGAAACAAATTGGATAAATATTTAGCAGTCTTGCCGGCTGCACTGAAATTCTCCTTGCTTTGATTAAGCAGAGATGCACCTGCAATATGATGCATCAGAGAGAATAATATGAATTTTTAATCAGACAAACTGAAGGCTGCGGTTTTTATCAAAGGGGACTAATAAGTTAAAGATATTTGATTTGAAAAAATCAAATAAAAACTAGTTGAAAATTCCCTTATTAGAAAGGGAGAACAAAGGAGCAGGTGAAACCTGAATAATTAAAGATTGAATCAGCCGCCGGTTTATGCTTACGAGCAAAAAGACTGGCCTGAAATCTTCAGTGTTTCATTTTGCTCAGTTAGCAGCAAGTTAGATATCTTCAGTTAGATCTTTTCAAAAAATAAATAATTTTTCTTTTCTGCATTTACAGTAAAGTTAAACTAGTCTTTTTTCACAAATAAAATAGAGAATAAATTCTCATTTCAAGTTCGATAAAATTATAAAACGAGATACTCGAGATAACCCCATCTGAGGAAGTCTGGACTACAAGTACCCAAAGGACTGTGGCAAGACGAAACTGACAACCAAACCAGAAGTGCCAAGTGGACAACATCAAGGCAACCCAAGAAATACTACTCAGTCATCGACCTTAGTAAGAAGATAAAATATTGATGAACAAAATAAGATTAACTCAACCTCCCCTCATAGGTATATTTCTTTAAGCTGTTCGATTCGCTTATATAATCTAATTACCCAGTGCTCTGTTTTTAACCAACTAATTAATTCATACCTTTTCTAACTATTGTTTCTACTCTATTTTTTGTCAAGACAACTTGACGATTTAAGGTGAGACTTATAATTTGGGATAAAATTACTAAGCATTCAACCAGCAATGAGCGCTTAGTAAAACTGGTGCGACCGCAGCAGAGAACTACTCCTTAAGAAATTCCTTTTCCAACAAACACGAAACAGCTTTCAAAATTCAAAAAAATATATTATTATTAGGATCTGTGAGTATTTGTCAGATTAGTTTCCAAGCTCAAAAAGCCAGAGACAATGGGTATCTTTCGATAGAAACACAATTTCATTGTCTTCTACTTGACAGATATTCCTAGTAGGGTTCTTGCGAAAGCATCCCCTGCGCTAGCAGTCGCCCACGATATTCCTCCATCTCGAGGTCTATTAGACGGCTTTCTAACTGACATTAGCTTATTAACTTAACTATTATCTATTATTATAATAATATATAAAATTTCTGAAAAATTCGTTCTCTGCTTAAGTCCGCTAGTAAGATATATACGTTTTGTCCAGTAATCCACTTAATTTTTGCCGAAACTTCAGTTTAAAAATATCATCACTAAAATTAACGAAATTCTGTATTAAACTAAAGTGCTCAAAAACTTATTAAATATCTTCAATTATTTTTTCGAGGGGGTTAAGTGGTCATATGTGCGATATAAGAGTACCCTAAATTGTATGATAAATTGAATTCTTCATCACATTATCTCAAACCATCCACGATTGTTGCTATTTATTCTAATCCTTCATCATTTCTCGAGGCTTATCCTCATTTTTTCTTAAACTAATTTTAATTCTATCCACCTTAACATAACTTAAACCTAAATCATCCATCAGTAAAACTACCAATTACTGAAACTAAGGAAGAAATTAACAAAAACCACGAAGGAAGGAACGGATTTGGGTGTTTTTTAATAAATTATTAGTTTTTTTAACACAGTTTAAATATACACCTAATAAACAATAAGATTACGCACTAAAACCAATCTTAAACGTTAACCACATAACACCAAACACCAAGTTTTAGTTTCAGCACAAAAATATCAGGTTTCACAACAAAAACTAAGTTTAAAACACTGACCCATCCACTTTATATTGATAAACTAGGTTTCATATAATAGCATAAGCACTAAAAAATTGATTTTTACCAGCCAAAATTTTTGGTTTCAGTCTAGGTTTCAGTAATAGGGTCAAACGTTTCAGTTAAAATAAGTATAGTTTCCGGTCAAAATTTTAAGTTTCTGTAAAAGGATTTGGGTAAAACAGCAAAAGTTGAACTAGTCAAACCCAAATTTGGATACCAAAACCTGGTCCTAAATGGTACGTTTTTGTTAGTTTCAGGTTTCAGAACACAAAAATTGAGTTTTTGGTCTCAAAATTGAGCTCCGAACGCCAAATTTTGACTTTCTAGAGAAAACTAACGGTGTTAAAACCCACCAAACCAATTTTAAAATTTGGTTCCTAAGGCTGAAACGTACGTTTCAAAATTGGTGTTTTTGGTTTCAGAACCAAAAATCTTGCTTCCCATGTGAAATTTTTGTGAAATATTGAAAGATAATAGGAATCCTTAATGCACTAACAAATTTTTGAACTCAAAAAACTTCTAGAAGGTGTTAGTTTGAGCCCTCAAACTTATAGTTTCAGAAAACTAAAATCGTCGTTTTAGGCTAAATTTTCATCTTTTTGGCAATTTTATTGCTGGAATAGAAATATATTAGAGACCAACCTAAATTTTCAATCTCAAAACTCTAAAACCAAGTGGTCAAACCATAGTTTCAGTTCTAGAAATCATAGTTTCAGCCCCAAAAACTTAGGTTTCCGCAAACAAAATTTTGATTTTGAAGTTGCAAACCGGTTCCAAATTCTAATTTACACTAGACCAGCTATCAAAAACCAACTTTCTATTTTCATGCATCGAGTTTGAGAGAGTTTAAGAGTTTTAGGTTTGAGATTTCAAAAACTAATATTAAGATATCAAAAGATTCGGTTTTCACAAATTTTTTTGCAAGATAAACCATAAACTAGGTATACTAAAGCTTCTAGACAATTTTAAGATTAAAAAAACTCAACTTCAGCTACCATAGTTTCAGGTTTCAGATTATCGTTTCAGTCAAAAATTTTTGTAAAAATTTTAACAAAAAAATTAAGTAGTGAGCCAATAATAGCCCAAAAAGACATATAATTATATTGTTAACCATACCAAAAGCATCAATTAAACTTATGTTGAAGAAAGTTTCAGGTTTCAGTTAAGGTTTCAGCGAATAAAAACTTGAAAAACTTAGAAAAAATTTTAGAATTTTTTTTCCAAAATTTTTTTTATTCTTATTTTATTATTAATAACCTTTGTTAATATTCAATAATTCCTCGGAGGTTTTCATTACTCTAAAACATACTAATCAAATAGTACAACTTAGCTTAAGAAAAAGAAAACATCGTAAAAATTAATGTCAACACATTTTAAAATTGACGTCAGTACAATAAATTTAAAACTCAAATTAGGAAATAAAGTCTCTAACATCATATGGTATATCACTAACACGGAAAAAGATCATATTAGTATACTAGCAAAACACCCTAACGACGATAAACGCGAATTATACATCTTTTTTCGACGATACACTCCAGAAATTGACACAATTCTTCAGCAAATAAAAATACCAAATAATATAATTTATATACCGCAAGAACGATTAATTGCTTCACTCCCGATTGCTTTTTGATATCATAATATACCTAAGCACAAAACTACTTGCATTTTAATCAATTTTCATTAAAAACACAAGTTTTTCCTTTTTAACTTTTCCCAAAATTAAAAACATAACAAGTTCATTCCAAATTGATTTGAAAAATTTAAATATTCTTTATATTGTTTATCATTCCCTAAATAATTATTGATGTCCCTAAAATGAGGTAAAAGGCTATGACCAACTTTTATCCAGTAAATACAACAGCATTTAATTTAAAACTAAAATTAAAAAATAAATCCACAAAATTATTTGGTATATCAACAATATCCAAAAAGATCAAATCACAATTTTGTCCAAACACCCACACAAAAATATTCACGAATTAACCATTCTTTCCAGCAGCAATACCCCAGACATAACTTCTATCTTAAAAAAGCTTAAACAGCCCCATAGCACTATTGATCTATCTAACAAAAATTCGCATTCATGGAACCCAGCAAACTTCATTGTAACTTAAATACATTTATTTCAGTCCGTACAATTGATCAGTACACAACACATCCAAACCCTTCATATATTGTTAACAAAACATTGAGTGAATTAAACAAAGATGGCAAACGTAAGTAGCATACCCAGATTTAGCTCTCGAAAAGTTTACCGGCTTAGATCCGAATGAAGATGCAAGAGATTTTCTTGATATAGTAGAGAAAAAGATAGCATTTTCCCTAGGCACTAGACCAGGAGATACAGGTGACGAACAAGACGCATATGATAACAGACAAAGAGCCTTATTTGGTTCAATATTAAGAGGTCCAGCCGCTCAATGGTATCAGGGACTAGCAGCAAACTTACCTTGGAATCATATAAGAGATCAATTCATAGATAGATTCACTGATGATAAGGATAAATATGGGAGACGAATAGAAGCAGAAAACATAAAAAGACAACCTGATGAATTCATTAAAAGCTACATACATAGATTAAGCACTGCAGTAGACCGTGGATGGCCTAATCCAACTTTTAATGATGATCAAAGAACAGCAAAGAAAATGGAATTCTTTGTACGCGGCTTAAGCCCGCCAGGCTTGAAACAAAAGGCTCATCAATTCCTAATTGAGAATCCACCCGCAACATGGCAACAATTAAAAGATCATATTGCAACAAAAGACTTAAGTTTTGCAGTAAGTAGTGAGTTTACTGGAACAGCCTCAAGTAGTGTTGATAATAAGTTGGAGATAGAAGGAATAAAGGATCAGCTTAAGGAGTTAACAGGACTAATGAAAGATCATAAAATAAACGCAGCTTATAGTCCACATGAGCATAGAAACAAACAAAACAACCCAATGTTTTGCAATTGGTATTGCATGTCAGGCCATACGATAAGACATTGCTTCAAATATAACGATCAACAGGAGCAAAATTATGACTCGCTTCAATTAAGAGAGAATTCAAACAGAAGTTACCATAACTATAGCAAGAGTAGGTCAAGAGTAGACAATAATTTCAATGATATAAATCCCCAACAAGAATTCAGGCATTTGTCAAATTTCAAGGAAAGTTCTCAATCGCGTGACATGTCGAACAGTAAAAAATCCTTCAACGAAAATAACGATTGTCATTCACCTTACCAGATCCACAACTTTAGTGATGATGACATTCCGGGAGACTATACCGATAATGAGTGTGAACTTGTTAATTTAAACTAGATCAGTCTCCGTCCGAACAAAAAATACAATTATATATTAATTTATACCAACATCCCGTCGGAGACAAAAATAAAAATAACGGTCTGGAAACCCAATTTCTACTAGACACTGGAGCAACATGTTCAATATTGTAAGATACAGCCTCTACAGCTGAATAAATGTAGATCAAATACAGTTGCTGTTAATGGAGAAAAACTTAAACTTATAGGTTATACTAATTTTGACTCAACTTTTGGTACAAACACTAATAATCCGGTAAAAATCACAGCATGGATTTCAGCCGAGAACGGATGCGATCTAAATATATTAGGAATTGATTTCATTTCTCACAACTTTAAGTCATTAAATTTTCCAAATTTAAACTTAGAATTAAAAAAATACCCAGATATAACAGTTCCTATCAGTGTCATAAGAAGCAAAAGCTATCCATATCTAAGCTTTTATCAAAATGTACTTCTTGATAAAAATATAACTATTGCACCAAAATCATCCCGCGTAATTTCAATTTCTCCAGCAGGCATGGTTTTCAAAGTAGGAACATCGTTTAGAATTGATAAGTCCTTAGAACAAAAAGGCATCAATGCAAAAAGCACTTATTGTAGGAATGAAATTAAGTCAATGCCTATCGTACTAAAAAATTCCAGAGAATCAAAAGTAGATATAAGCAAAGGTGTAATCGGCCAAACGTTTGAAAACATAGAAATATAATAAACCCATTTCTTCCTGCTTTAAAAATATTAATTTTCATTAAAGCTTTTATAACGCTTTAAGTTTGTGAAATTTACTTAACGTTTTGTATACTGAGCAGTAAATCTAATTTAATCTTACCAAAAAATAAGATTACGAGTATTATCCTACAATTATACTACAATGAATAGCGATTCTGTATGACACCCAGAAGGATATGCCAAAATGCATGAACACGGATTTAATTTTTAACCGAGATCGAAAACAGTCAAGTACGCTAACAATTTTGGACCATCCTCAAAATCAAATAAAGATAGAGGGATCGGAAACCAACGGCTCAGACAAAAAAAGTTTTCCGACTTCAACATATTTGCAAAAAAAAATTGCAAAAGGCCAGGAGTTTAAAATATTACAGTTTTACGAGTCTATGAATAATTTCATTTTCAGGCGGTTTTATTAACTGAAAATTCAGTATTACACTTAAGGGAATGTCAAATTACCCTACGTACAATAACGAGAGTTAATAGAGTAA